ATATTATGTACAAATAAAAAATCCTGAAATATCCGCGTGCGTGCGTTACGAGGACCATCTCCGTATTGAGAACCAGGACGGGGAGCCAGATTCGTGTGTATCTCCGTGTATGCTCTCGTGTCTACGTGTATGTATCATTCGTGCCTGCGTGTATGAGCGCGGCGGACGGACATGCGGTGGATTGTGACCGGTTGTTGGACGCGAGTGCGCTCGTAACCGCTTAGAGACTATGTACAGGCGCGGGGGACGAGGGTGAGGGAGTCTGCGCGGTCCCCGGCGTGCCAGGATTCTGTTGCACAGAGTAGGAGTTATTTTGTCGCGAGTGCTGCTGTTGGTGCGATGGGTGATGATGATGGTGATGGTGATGGTGATGATTCTGATGTTGCTGATGGTGGTGATGGGGAGTCGATGGATTGATGGTCGAGTGATTTTGCATGAGGTTCAGGTTGAGGGGGTAGGATAGGGGGGAGCCCAGGGCCGTTGCGGCAGAGGTACTGCAGGCACCGGCTCCGGGCCCCACCGGGCTCAGTGCATGCTCATCCCCGCGTGCGGATGGTGGGCCGCCGGGACGGAGGTTGCGTGATGATGAGGATGGTGCATTAGAGGCGGGAGATGCGGGTGGTGGGGATGGTGTGGGGTCAGAGGCGGTGGGGTCATCTGTATTGGAGTCATGGGGGTTGTCGGCTGATGGCCGAGAGTGGTGGTGGTGGTCTGAGGAGAGGTGGTGTTGCTGGTGTCCTGGCCCGCCACCACCGCTGCCGCTGCCGCCGCCGCCGCCGCCGCTACCGCCAGCTGCTGCTGCTGTTGCTGCTGCTGGGCCTGAGCCGGCTGCTGCGGCGGCTGCGGCTGCGGCACCGAGCTGGAAGTGGGACTCTGCTGACTCCCGTTGTCCTCGCTGTCGGAGCAGGACTCGGCCGACGAGCTCCCCGCTCCCCCCTTGCCCTTGCTGCCGCTGCTGCTGCTGCTGCTGCTGTGGGTCTTGACGTGTTTCGCGAGATGGTCGCTGCGCATGAACCGCTTGTTGCAGACCGGGCAGGCGAATCTCTTTTCGCCGGTGTGGGTTCGAAGGTGCCGCTGCAACTCATCCGAACGTGTGAACCGCTTGCCACAGAAAAGCCAGTTGCAAACAAACGGTCGCTCACCAGTGTGCCACCGTAAGTGGGCCTTCAGATGCGACGTTTTCCCGTAGACCTTGCCGCAACCCGGTATGTGGCAGCTATGGATGTTCTTCTTCCTGAGGTGCACGCCGGCGGGACCGAGTCTCTCGGCTTCTTGACAATTCGGACAATCGCAGGTGGCACGTCCGGTGTAACGTCTCTGCGAGCGCGGCGAGGGCGCTTGGCTAACACCGGCGCCCCCGAC